TCAGTCGATTCTCTTCTTTCATTTATTCGTTTCGTTTCTGAAAGCCGAATAAAAGAAAAAGAGATCGTTTCGACAGCGTTCGCGTCGACGTTCGTTAAATATTTATAATGCTCAACGATTTTTGACGCTATTGCCGATAAAGCTACTACATTTATTGCAGTTTAATAGAATAAGCGAATCGATCGCCGAGAAGACTGCATACAGCTGTACAAACACATCGGATATCTATGTTCTGTTTCTCTTTGTATCGTAAACGTGCATACGTAAATCAGAACGAGACTAGAATCATACTGCATGAAATGTCCCATTAAAAGGATTCCATTAAATCGTTCTAATTGATAACCGAGGCGTTGCAGTTTTTGCTGTTTATCGTTTAATGAGATTTCTACGCGAATCGGAGCGACGTTATGCTTCTTGACACAACAGACTCCTCTCAATAGCAGATCCTCCCATAATCATTTTTGTCCTATTTCCGATCCACTTGTTTGATTCCGTGTAACACTATTCGGAGAAAGGGAGGGAAAAGGGTGATAGAGGATAGGGCAGCACGATCCAAGTGTGAAAATAAATTACGAAGTGTTTCTTAATGAAACTTTTGCAGCAGACAGTGCTGCGGTAATTTCTCAGACCTGTCTCATACTTGTCCTGCTTCCCGAGAAAACGGGACAGCCTGGCACTGAAACGTGAACAGTGAAAAACATTTATATTCCCCGGGAAAAAGCCACGTTACAAAGTTCACATCTGATGATAGAATCAATTGTCCCTTCTGAAATATCAGAGCTACACTCTTGGTTCAGACCACCACATTTAACGACATTTTAAAATGAATTACAGAATTGTTTAAACGAAACGATAGAACGATTCAAAGGTTTTAAACAAAATTAACATAGAACATTACGGAATTTGTTTCCAGTTCAAAGATTAAGGGCTAGATAATTTCGCGGAAATAAACAACTAAACGTCCATGTAACTGTTACACAAGTATTTTCTTCCCTCTGTCGTTGTTAATTGCTCGTCCGCTATTTTGCAATGCAATTAGCTACATCTAGAAGTATGAACAAAAAATGTAATGACCTAACAAGCATTTTTTTCCTACAGTTGGTATACTTTCATTACTTCAATTAAATTCACTGTCCACCCAAGTTTTCTCTCATTACCGTACTTGGTCCGCGAGCATAGAACTCCGTGATGCACAACTTTTCCTTGCTTTGTTAACGTTTTGTTCGTACTGCGTTTTATTTGCGCACGCTTTTCCCCACGAATACTTCTGCAAATGCTCTTTACACCCCTTGAAGATACTATCCGTGTACTTACACAGTTTTTCTAAGTTTTAATACTGATAAAAGGGCTGCGGGACCGTACGTTTCGATAGGTCGAAACGTAATTGTAAACTACGTTTTCTTTGTTTCGAAAAGGTTCAACGTTCTTACAAATTATAGCTTCATTTTAACACCTCTATAATTTTTAATTATTTCTAAAGTTTCCTCGAAAAAATTTTAAGTTCGATAATTTTCAAGTGGAAAGGAGTGGTCTTTTTAATGCAACACGGTTTTTTGCTATAGAAAAATTTTGTAGTGAGTAGCAGCGATGTAATGGGGAATATTCGGAATTTTAAATTACTTGTAAGCAGAAAGTGTGATAATGCGATTTCTTAATTTTAACCGGGTCGAGTGCTGGGTTCACTCGAGGATGTTACAAACTATTAAGAGAATGTAATTAAGCGGAGAATGTGGATAATGCGATGTATATTAAACTTGAGATAGTTGAAATATTCACCGCCGGCGTTTAACAATGCAAGTATCTCGATAAAATATTTGCACATGTAAAAACTAGGACGCAAATCTGTTTGTGAAACACAGAAACGGTAGCCGTGTTTTTCTCTTCTGTTCCTCGTATCACAACGAAACTACACGTACATATATTCGTTAAAAAATCATCAAATATTTGATTTAATCGTCATGGAACCGTGATTTAAAACGTACACCGCTGTCCAAGAGTTTGGTGCTGATAAAGGATGAATCTTCCACAGAGAAATTACAAGGAAGATTATTAATTAGTTTATGAAACCGAAGCCATTGAATTACGATTCGACATACTTCATGTCGTGACTAAAATTAAAGTGCGTAAAAGTTTTGCAGAGAAAAGGATTCTGCCCGATTAATTGTTCGATTTGTTAATTCAGAAAATGTACCGAATTACCTTTGGATCGATTACTTGGCTGCATTAGCGTAACAACGAGCAATCTATTGCAAGGAGTTGCTGGCACATGAACAAAGCATTCGTTGAAACGGAATAATGCGTATTCCGAGTGTAAAGCGGAGATACTGTAAACTTCAATGCAGAATATATTTACCGAATTCGAGTTGTTGCGAATCACGAGGCTGGAAAAAAAGATATTATCACCGGACTACGACTCCTCGTCCGCCACTGTTTAATCTCCATTCATTTGCAAGCATTTGCTTAATAAGTGTGAAGCGTCGGGCGAGTTTCCAGCTTCAAATTTAATAAATACTACACATGTCGAAATGAATGTTTTGCTCGGTGAGAATCTTCGTTTAAATGGAATTTGATCGCGCGGTAACGCGCTTTAATACCTGCTGCTAGAATATTTTTCATCGATCGTTCAAATAAGTTTCATCTCGCGAAAGAGAAGCGGGCGACGATATCGGGGTTGAACTTTTTATTCCGTTCATATTAAAATATTTTAATTCCGTTCGTGTCCCTAATATTCGGAATATTTGGGGTGTATTCAAATTCGAGTTCAAAGTCGAGCGCAAAAGGTGAGGACACCCGAATTACCTGAATTCTGCTCATATCGGAATATCTGAATATTAAAATTTCCTACCATCAACCTCCGCCCTTCTCGATACATCTTTCATCAGCTATTTCTTCCAGCAGCCACCTTGATCCATCATCTACAATTTCACACAGACGTAGTCGCGAAACTTTGAAAGAGACATCACGAGGTACCGCGGAGATGCATAGGATTTTCATCCATGTGTCTAACTTGCGGATCCTACACAAACGAAAGATGCTCCTCCGTCCTTCTCCCTCTGTACCCTTCATTGCACGTCATCTAAGTTATTATTCTCCTATGTTCACTTTTTTTTCTTTCGTCTCTGTTTCCTGTTCGTGGCTTGTATTTCGATGTCAGCGGGTCTCTGTCTCTTTCCGCGGGGCTGCTTCGTTAGTTTCGCCGGGCGTTTGATTACGCCGCGTAGCCGGAAGGGCCAATGTTTAATTTCTTTCTCTCTGCACGGCCCCGGGTCTCGTCGCGATGAATGGCAGCATAAGAAATGGTAAAGGTACGTTTACATAGGCGAAAAAAGCACGCGAGCCGTGCCACAAATACGCGGCCTGTCCTACCAACACCCTTCGAGTAGCTTCGTGTTGGTCTTTTGTGATTCTTTTCGTTACTGCTTTTTTTCCTCCCCCTTTCTTCTTTATTTTTCTCGCTGCATTGCTCGTGTTCTTTCGCGGCAACGTTCAAATAATGCGTGTACGAAAGTGTAAGACCGAAACTCGGCACAATGGCCTGCTATCCGGAATTCTTCGAAGCGTGCTGTAATCAGCTACTTCCCCGGTAAAGTTCAACCCGTGACCCGTATGTTCTCATACTACAAAGAAGATAATTATATCTTACTTTCGTCTCTGCTATTTTGATACCTTCACTTCAAATATACTTTGCTATTGATTAAATTTCTGAACATCTTTCTGGATCTCTTAATTCGCAGATTGATGGGTTCGTAGACTTGTGGATGTGTTCTTAGATTAGAGAATTGAAGGTAGTTCAAAGGTAGCACAAAGTTTCTGTGCCACAAATCCTATATATGTATATGTAAATTCTTGTATTACTAGATGTCTATATTCTTAAATTATCTTTTGTTAGCTGTATTCCCAGATTTCTAAAGTTCCCGAACACCTATGTTCTCGAAGACCTACTTGGTTCCCTATATTGCTAGATCTCCACATCTCCAAATTTCTATATTTCTTAACACCCACATCTTCAAATCTCTGTACCACCCTATAACTAGATTTCTATATCTCTCGATTCCTATACAGATCCCTATATCTCTAAACATCTATTCCCAGCTCCCTATACTTCCACATCCCTCGCTCCCTTGAAAGCACCCCCTCAATATAACAACCCTTACCCTTTGAATCAATATGTTTAAAATAGTACAACGCATTTCTCGCATTAAACGCGTTGCAATGCACCGGAGTTTCATTTGTACGCAACGACGGAAAAGGAAGAAAAAGGTAGCCAGACCACGAAGCTGGCACAGACCGTAGCGATAAGCAAGCGGTCCAGCAAAGAATACAAATAGTTCTATTATTTCACGGACAAAGGTAACGTAGTGTGGGATCCGAATCTGGAGCGAGTCTTATCAAAAATAAAAGCCGGCGGGCAGCTTCAAAGAGCCGTGGAAAAGTAAGAAGTTGTGGAAAGAGTGGCGCTGTATCGACTTTTGGTAACTGCTTCGAGGTATTGATGCTTCCTGGGATTCTGCTAGAGTCCTGTGCTTTTTGGGGATCGACTGTTGGCAGCTAAATGAATTTTTTGTTGTTATAATTATTTTAAATACATGGATATTCTGATGATAAGAATAATGTATTGAACCGTTACATTTTATAATTAAATAATTAAATTTTGTTGGACATGCTTCTGAGTGCAACTAATATTTTTAAAAATATCTATGTGTGCTACAAATCATAATTGGATAGTAGCTTACTTATGAAATAACTTCTTGAAAGTGTGACCTTCTTAAAATTTTTTAAAAATGTATAACTCAATAATGGCATAGTACTGATCCCATTAGAAGTCAAAGTAAATATCTATAGTATTATCAGAAAATTCAATTAAAAATGAAAAAATGTGAAACTTCAATATTTCTAAGTTCCTACATTCGAGAACTTGAAATCTCCATAAACCTCCACCTCTCACAGAAAGAATTTCCAAAATCATAATGAAGGAATAAAATGCCGTTACAGTTTATCATACAGATTTATTTGCTCATATGGTCATAAGTATATAATAATTGTAACCTAAAACTCTGCGTATAAATATTATCGGCTCGCGAATCGGCCATCAGGCTGTTAGAATCAGCGTCATAAGACGGTGCCAATTTGTGTTTTTTTTTTTGTTGTGAATTCATTGAAAGTGTTATTACGAAGAAAGTAGCATTGGTACAGCGACATTCACGGACGACACGCGTTCGTTGACACGATTTTATTGGTTATCTACAAGCTGGCGCCAATCCCGTATTCTCTGATCGCGCTTTGAATATGGAGATCCAAAGGATGGTTCACATCTACGTCTTTGTGCTTGTAGTTGTTCAGGAAATAAGATGTTCCCTCGATGTTAGCCGGAAATTCTTTCGGTAAAAATTCCTTTCTTCGCGGTTCCAACTCGAATCCTGGTATGGGATATTTCAATAAGCTGCCATAAACAGATGCTGATGTGAGTAACGTGAAATCTATGCGTTATTATGGAGATATAAAATGTTTCAGTAAAGCACTTGTACACTCCATTGAAACTGATTTAATGTATAGAAGAAAGTATTTGGAATGAAAAGAATTTATAGTTGGAAATTGTTTTGACATTTTTCATTCAGCTGTTGTTATATGATTGTTATTTATTCATCCATTTTTTATAGAACTTGGTATATTAGTTTGAATAAAGTGTACAAGAATATTTTTGACTGACTGTGTATCTACTGAGTCAAAATTTAAGTCTATTATTGCAAAACGAAAAATTAAATTGTTTTTACTCTGAAAATTAATATTTTGACTCGGTGGATTGAGAATAAAGAATCATGCTAACTCCAGATAAATCTCAGATGAATTTTACTTGTATATGGATAGTATTAATTGAAATGTAATTGATAATATTAAGTACTTACTCGTATGTCGTTGGGCTAACGTGGACACGAAGTGGTTCACTTAATGATTCGAATTTGTTAGCTAAAGTGACGTTGTGGCCGAAAAGACAATACCTCGGCATTTTTTTTCCAACTACTCCTGCTAGCACCATTCCGGTATGAATGCCAATTCGCATCTATTGAAAGAATATTCACATATATTTGCATGATTGTATTACAATTTAAAATTCTATCATTGAACTAATGGTACTATCTTACCCTTATTGGTTTACCCTTATGAGTCAAATGGTTCGAACATGCTTGTATCATTTTCAGAGCCATCCAAGCTATTTGTTGTGCATGAATGCAAGTATCACGGTGAAGGCCACATGCCACGCAATAGGCATCTCCGATTGTTTCCACCTATAATTTTTATTTTAGTTAATAACGAAAAACACATCTAGTATAAGATGTATAATACTACATCTTCTCTATGAACTTCTAAAAAGAAAATCATACCTTGTACACATCTAACTGGCCACAGAACGAGTCGAATTGTTCATAAAGGTTTTGAAGCATGTTGATGACCATCATCGGTGTCGCGGTGGAACAAATTTCCGTAAAACCAACAATGTCACTGAAAAGCATCGTCACCTCTGGATAAGTTTTAGCTTCGATTGTTTCTCCTGTAAGAATAAAAATTTTATGACAGGAGATTCTTTCCATACTACAAGTTGTGAAATGTTTGAATCCTTACCTAGCCATAGGCGTTTTGCTATATCCGGAGGAAATATAAGATGAAGCAAACTGACGTTCTTCTCTCTTTCTGCAGACACAGCCAGGTTTGCTTCTTCTATCGAACTCTTCAGCTTATCCATTCTTCTTCTCAAGCCATCCTGAAATGTGCATTCATTGTTATTATATTTTGCGTAAACAATATAGAGAATTTATCTATCTCCTTTATCTTTCTCTGTCTTTCATAAGAATATAATTTGATTTAACCCGCCATGTGCTACAGTGGCGCGATCTACAAAATGGTGGCACACCATATGTTGGCGCCCTCTGTGCCAAGAAAACGAATATCGACAACATAGATTTCTTCAAAACCATATATCGTTTTCAACCTTATCGACTAACAGTAACATCGAAACATCAGTAAATAATTTACAAATAAAATTTATATCCACAAACAAAATTGTACATATAGAATATTCTTCGTTTCACTACTTCTTAATATCATTGCAATTATAATATAATGTTCTCACAAGTTTCATAAGTATAAACGTAACTAAGAGTATATTTGAAAAATTGATTATACCTGAGCTCTTGCTTGTTCCCCAACCAAAATAACGTCCCTAGTAGCGTCGTGTAATGGAATATCAGATATAAAAAGTCCTCGGCCAGTTAATCCTTCCAGACCGTTCAGAAATGGCGAACTCACGAATAGGATGGAATCCGATTCTGGACAATGGACCATCTGACCTTTCATCTCTAACCCCTGAAATGAAAATCCTATTGGTAGAAAAATTCAGGAAATGTAATCTAGTAAGGGTTATGCATATCGTATATGACATTGCTTAATTGCAAGTGGATTAATATAGTAGCTTGCTATCGAACATCCTTACTATTGATTTGCAACTTTGTACTTTGTTGACCTCCCTCAATTTTTTGAGGTTTGGGGTTCCTCAATTTTTAAATTTTCAAGTTTTTAAATTGTTAAGTTTGTGTATTTGCAAATTCCTATATTTTTAAATTTTTATATGCACTAATTTTTATATTGGTAAATTTTTGCAGCCACAAATTGTAACGGGACTATATTTGCAGACGTCCTCAAATTTCCATGAGCTCAAATTTCCATGACCCCAAATTTCCACGTCTCTAAATTACCATGAATTCAAATTCCCACTTCCCCAAATTTCCACATCCCCAAATTCTCACATCCCCAAATTTCTACGACCCCTAATTCCCACATCCCCAAATTCTCACATCCCCAAATTTCTACGACCCCTAATTCCCACATCCCCAAATTCTCACATCCCCAAATTTCTACGACCCCTAATTCCCACATCCCCAAATTCTCACATCCCCAAATTTCTACGACCCCTAATTCCCACATCCCCAAATTCTCACATCCCCAAATTTCTACGACCCCTAATTCCCACATCCCCAAATTCTCACATCCCCAAATTTCTACGACCCCTAATTCCCACATCCCCAAATTCTCACATCCCCAAATTTCTACGACCCCTAATTCCCACATCCCCAAATTCTCACATCCCCAAATTTCTACGACCCCTAATTCCCACATCCCCAAATTCTCACATCCCCAAATTTCTACGACCCCTAATTCCCACATTCCCAAATTTCCACTTCCCCAAATTTCTAATTTCCCAATTCCTCAAATCCCCAAATTCACAAATTTCGAAATTCTCACACTCCCAAATTCCTACATCCCCAAATTCTCACATTTCCAAATTTCTACGACCCCCAATTCCCACATTCCCAAATTTCCACTTCCCCAAATTTCTAATTTCCCAATTCCTCAAATCCCCAAATTCACAAATTTCGAAATTCTCACACTCCCAAATTCCTACATCCCCAAATTCTCACATTTCCAAATTTCTACGACCCCCAATTCCCACATTCCCAAATTTCCACTTCCCCAAATTCTCACATTTCCAAATTTCTACGACCCCCAATTCCCATATTCCCAAATTTCCACTTTCCCCAATTCCTCAAGTCCCCAAACTCGCAAACTTGGAAATTCTCACACCCCCAAATTTCCACATACCCCAATCTCCACATTCTCGAATCCCCAAATCCCCAATCTCCTATTTCCCAAACCCTAAAAACTCTAATTTTCAAAATTCCCAAATCTCTACATTTGAAACCAGCCAACCCAATTTTCATCCAATTACATTGTTCCTAACATTTCAATTTCCTCCGTAGTGTGTTAATTGAAAGAGGAGAATACACAGTGTGTACCGTGTGTTTGGGTAACGTTACAATAGCCATAATTGCTGTAGGAATAAATTGTATTCATGTACCTCCGCAGGATATTTATCAACGCCCTGTGGCCGTTGTAGAGTCAACACGAAAGGTGTGTTCGCTCGCTTCAGTATCTCGTGAAAGGTCAAAGTAACCCCGCTCGGTCGTGTAAAGGCGAAGTACGTCGATATTTCTCGCCCCAATCGGTTCAGATGATGTCCGAAGATCCTCATGAATCCGACTCCAAGCTGCACGAGCTCCAATTGTCGATCGACGACGAAATGCCATGGAAACGCTTTGCAGAAGCTCGCAACCCCCATGCGAAGGTCCGTGGCTTCGGTCGAAAGTGGACGGAAAGGAGACGTGACCGTGTCGAGATTATTGTCGACCTCTGAATCGACTAGCAAGTGTTCGATATAACGCTCTGGCGTGATACGGTACCTGCAAAACGGTTCATTGAAAATTAGTCAAGTTATTTTCGTTCTGGAATATCGACGATAAACTTTCAAATGGGTTAACTTTTCTTTATTCACTACGTGATGAAGTTCATTGATACAGTTATGAAGGCTATCTCGTACTTCTACGTGCAAATGGATTTCTTCAAATTTCATTTTCCTGTATTTTTAAATTTATAGTTTCTTAGATTCTTGAATTATTAAGTTCTCAAATTTTTGTAAGTCCCAGATTTCCTGAGCACCAATTCCTCAAATTTTTACATTCTCAAATTCTGAAACTTGCAAGTTTCCAAATCCTCAGATCCCCAAATCCTCAAACCCCCAAATTCTCAAACCCCCAAACTCTTAAACTCCCAAATTCTCAAATCCCCAATATTCTCAAACCCTCAAACTCTCAAACCCCCCAAATTCTCCATCTTCCAAATTCTCAAATCCCCAAATCTTCAAACCCCCAAACTCTCAACCCCCAAACTTTCAAACTCCCAAATTCTCAAATCCCCAAAATCCTCAAACCCCCCAAATTCCCCATCTTCCAAATTCTCAAATCCCCAAACTCTCAAACCCCCAAATTCTCAAACCCCCAAACTCTCAAACCCCCAAATTCTCAAACCCCCAAACCCTCAAACCCCCAAATTCTCAAACTCCCTAATTTTCAAATCCCTAAATCCCCAAATCCCCAAATCCCCAAATCCCCAAATCCCCAAATCCCCAAATTCTCAACCCCCAAATTCGCCAATTTCGTGAATTTATTTTCGTACAGGAATATCGACGATAAACTTCGAAATGGGTTAACGTTTCTTTATTCACAACGCGCTGTTTTATTCGTAACTACCAGTTTTTGCAAAGATGCTCGAAAATTGGACGCGATTCAATTCCATCTAGATTTTGGTTCATGGGTCATCAGATTTCCAATGCGGCGAAACAAAGAAACTTAGAACAGTTTCTTCTGTTCTAGCGCATTTTCATCAGCGAATCAGAAAGTTGAAGATCTTAGTGCTTGAAGCAGCAATCTCGTTCGCGATCTTTTCTCGTTAGGCAACGAATTTTCAAGGACCGAATTTCTTGCTTACACGCAGTCGATCCGCTTCGGTAAAGAATACTCGATCGTATTTGAAAGTGTGCATGCCGGATTTTCTTTCGGCGAACTTTTAATTAAACCGAACGGTAATGAGCCAATTACGGAATTCGCTACGAAACACTTTGACTGCGATTCTTTGAGGAAACGGCGGAGAGTAGATTGCTGTTTAACGAATTCTTTTTCTACGTGATCGTGTAACGAAACACTCGTGTGTTCGGCTTTCGAAACTCTCGGATCGATATCATTTTTGCGTTACAATTTCGACGGGAAACAAATACTAAATATTTCTCTTTAATATTGGGCTGTATTTATTTCAAACGACGCAATAATAAATAATAAGCACGTTAATCCCGAATGCAGAAATCTGAAGCGTTTCATTGGAAGGCTCGATACGCACCTATCTTCGAACGTCATAATTAAAGGGCTTTTCGGATCAAATTTCAACATCCACTCCGAGTGCTCGTTACACGTACACAAGCTAGAAAGCTTCATTAAAAACGCGATATTAAAACGCACCCGCTTCGAACTCGTTTCGACGAAATTACATATTGAAATATAAAATGGACCGTTTCGAATGTCCGTTTATTGAAGCCGATTGCACGCAGCTACGAGATTACCTTCGGTATAAAATCAAACGGAGTTACGTACCTAAAAAACTTGGTATTGTAGGGGTCGGGTAAAATGTACACGTTCGCGTTGTCATTATAAAACTGTCTGGCTATTCCTTTTAAGCTGCCAACCAACAGATACGCGATAGACGGATGGTCAGTCGTGAAATGCAGCTCTATCGCTTCCGGCGTGGCGATGCATACGAATTCTGCCTCCGCTTCTGATCCGGACTGATGTTGTACAACGTCGTTCACGCCGTCCAGAGTTGTCAGAAAGGCTGTCAGATCGTTCCCGAGACAGCGGAACGCTCGTTCAAGAAGACCCACACAAGCTGTGTAGATCAGCTCCTGACCGAGATGATCGAAAAACGTGCTCACGTCTACGTCTGAAAAAAAATTTCGCTGAATTAGCTTCTTCTTTGCTGTCGCCGGCGACGTACAATCACCTTACATCCTCAAAAGAGATTGATCTTTTTTCGATCTTCGGGGGGAGTCGCAATGAAAACGAGGGTCTCGATTCAACGAGCAAGAACTTATGGTTAGGGTAAAATTTTTCTTGCTTGTTTACTTTCGCATTCATTCGTTGGCATTCTTTTAATGTCCACAATACTCGTGACGTATAGTTGGGATTAACTGATTTGTATTTTCATTGTAATTGAATTTTGTGTATTCAGATTGTGACATGTATACATTTGTAGACGTGTCTAAGTTTCCACGACCCCAAGTTTCCACGTCGCCAAAGTCCCATGTCTTGAAATTCCCACATCCTCAAATTTTCATATCCTCAGATACCCATATACATAAATTTTCACATCCCCAAATTTCTACGACCCCCAATTCCTATATCCCCTAATTTCTATGATCCTCAGTTCCCACATTCTCAAATTTCCACTTCCCCAAATTTCCAATTCCCCAATTCCTCAAATCCCAAATTCGCAAACTTGGAAATTCTCACACCCCCAAATTCCCACATCCCCAAATTTCTAGGACCGTCAGTTCCCACATTCCCCTATTTCCAATTCCCCAATTCCTCAAATCCCAAATTCGCAAACTTGGAAATTCTCACACCCCCAAATTCTTACATCCCCAAATTTCTAGGACCCCCAATTCCCACATTCCCTAATTTCCAATTCCCCAATTCCTCAAATCCCAAATTCGCAAACTTGGAAATTCTCACACCCCCAAATTCCCACATCCCCAAATTTCTAGGACCCCCAATTCCCACATTCCCCAATTTCCACTTCCACAAATTTCTAATTCCCCAATTCCTCAAATCCCAAATTCACAAACTTGGAAATTCTCACACCCCCAAATTCCCACATTCCCAAATTTCTAGGACCCCCAATTCCCACATTCCCTAATTTCCAATTCCCCAATTCCTCAAATCCCAAATTCGCAAACTTGGAAATTCTCACACCCCCAAATTCCCACATTCCCAAATTTCTAGGACCCCCAATTCCCACATTCCCTAATTTCCAATTCCCCAATTCCTCAAATCCCAAATTCGCAAACTTGGAAATTCTCACACCCCCAAATTCCCACATCCCCAAATTTCTAGGACCCCCAATTCCCACATTCCCCAATTTCCACTTCCCCAATTCCTCAAATCCTAAATTTCTCAAATCCCAAATTCGCAAACTTGGAAATTCTCACACCCCAAATTCCCATATTCCCCAATCTCCACATTCTCAAATCCCCAACCCCCTAATTTCCAATTTCCCAAATCCTAAAATCCCCAATTGTACAAATCTCTAAATCTCCACATTTGAGTACACAGTGTCTACCATATGTATAGGTAATTGTAGGTTTAGGTTAATAAATAGAAGCTTATAGAATTACACGAAAAATCCCTTGAATTTCTCATTACAAATACCTCGAATTAATTTCTTGTCCAATCTTTCAAGATTTCAATAAGTTTCCCGACGATCTTCCGGGAGACGGAAAGCGCAGGCAATTTTGTTGAAAGTTGAAGAACGAGATAGCGACTTCAGCGATTCGTAAACTTCTCGAGTGACATTCCTCTTAGCATCATGAACTTTTAGATCGCATCTACCGTGGACCAAGTTGCGACTTGTAACAATTTATCGAAGCCAAGATTTTGCAGTCTACGACCGCGCTGCTCGTTTTCCACATTTTTGACCTTAACTCGGGCAATCTGATACGATGATGGTTTTACGAAGCTCCCGTTTCAAGCTTTCCCGCGCGAACGGTCGAGGGCTTAATATCCTCGAATTAAAAGGTTCGAATAATGTTTCCCGATGGCGGAACCGATGAAAAAAACTAACGAGGAAGAAAACGGGTCAGTGAGCTTTAATTTGTTTCGTTCGACCTGTTTGTTGCAGCGACCTGGATGCAACTGTGATTCTGCTGACGACCGACGGATGGAATTACGCGAATCTTTCCTGTCAATACAAGGACGTGAAGCAGTTTGCTATGACACGTCATTCGATTGCTTCTGCAATTACGTTACTTGGAGAGAACATGTGGGACTATTTTAGTTAGGTAGAGTGAAATCGTACTTTCTCAGTGGAGTTTCAGATTGTTTTAATAAGGCAAAAAATAAATGATGATTGTGTACTAGATGTGTTGAATTATTCTAGATTCAGATCGATATTTGCATTGTAAAAGTGGTGTAATTGATTCTTCAAATTTGTTCGAAATAAAGAGCTCAATTAAACTTCTTCGAAATCCCGGCACCTTTTTAAAATTCCACGCACCGAGAGGCCATCCATTTAACCGCGATTCGGCCCCTTTTAAATCCTCTTCGTTACCGTTCGTTTTCAGTTTCAATCAATTGGAGCTTGCCGAACGTCCATTCCCACGAATGTTGTTCGCAAACTAACCGAAACCGTGATTCCTGACGCGCGTTTCCCGTCTGTCTTTCCTTCGGCGATCTGGACATAGAAATTACGTGAAACGTTCCGACGAGGTTGTCGAAAGTTTACGGTGGTCGATAAACGACCGACAGATTCCAATCGCTACCGTGAATCATGGTGGTTAGCTCCCTTGCAAATCGGGAAATCGACGCGACCCGACCGGGTTGTTCTAATGGCCGCGCGTATTATTTCCCACCGAATGTCACTGCCAGCACGCGATAATCAATAGCGGTTGGCATCCGGCTATATAATACGTTCGGCCAATCGTCTGGAACGTCGCGTGATGTTTCTGTGACAGCCTGCCAAATCGTCCAGCAAAGCTTGACTAATCGATGGCCCCTTGGCAGCCCGAGTGTTGTTCACCTGTCCTCGGTTGCGAACGAAACTCTTGCCCGGAAGAACGGATCCGGGTCACAAGACCTCCAATAACGATGCGTTAATAGACACCTCGAATCACGAGTACCTTCATTATCCGGACTAATTGGTGAACACGCGGATAAGCGTTGCGAGGATTAAAACGAATTGATGCTGATTATCATAATGATATATTTTGAGAGAGTGTATTAAGTATCTCAGAGGTCATCGGTATACTGAAAATATGTGATTGCCAGGTTGAGGTACTACCTGGGAAAGTAAACTAGAAATTATTTCTACTTGATGTAGTTCTTGAACATTCTGTAAAATATCTGAGAGTAGTTGTTTACGATGAAAGTGATAATGTATTAAGTATCTCAGAGGTCATCGGTATATTAAAAATATGTGATTGCCAGGTTAAAGTACTACCTCGGAAAGTAAACTAGAAATTATTTCTACTCGATGTAGTTCCTGAACATTCTGTAAAATATCTGAGAGTAGTTGTTTACAATGAAAGTGATAGTGTATTAAGTATCCTAAAGGTCATCGGTATACTGAAAGTATGTGATTGCCAGGTTAAAGTACTACCTGGGAAAGTAAACTGGAAATAATTTCTACTTGATGTAGTTCTTGAACATTCTGTAAAATCTCTGAGAGTAGTTGTTTACAATGAAAGTGATAGTGTATTAAGTATCCTAAAGGCCATCGGTATACTGAAAATATGTGATTGCCAGGTTGAAGTACTACCTGGTAAAGTAAACTAGAAATTATTTCTACTCGATGTAGTTCTTCAACATTCTGTAAAATCTCTGAGAGTAGTTGTTTACAATGAAAGTGATAGTGTATTAAGTATCCTGAAGGCCATCGGTATACTGAAAGTATGTGATTGCCAGGTTAAGGTACTACCTGGGAAAATAAGCTGGAAATTATTTCTACTTAACGTAGTTCTTGAACATTCTGTAAAATCTCTGAGAACAGTTGTTTACAATAAAAGTGACAGTTCAGTGAGTCTTCAGTATGACTTCAGAGATGAAATATGAGAGTTTTGGCTCCGGAAGTTATTCGAATAAATTTTTGAAAGTTATGAATACCTCGTAACTGTATTGGTTACACCAGTTTCGAGAAAGTAACGACTGTAAGATATTATGAATCTCAATGCCACATTTTGCATGTATGAATTATACATATACGATGAATAACGCATTTGCCACTATGTGCATTCTTTAGCGAACAACCTATGTACACCGGTTATCGTGTTCTTGACAAATCCTTTGCACTATCGAACACGATTGAATTACAATGAAAATTCCGAGTCCATCATTATTTTTTAAGAAACGAGGAATTTACTCATCATACATTATCAAATGTTATCAGTACATTATGAAATGTTTTCAATAAATTTGAACTAATTTTCAGTCCAAAAATCTGCATCTATATTGCAATTTCTGCCCCTGGGTCCCTCCCCTAATCACAAAAGCAAATATTGTGGCAATAGAAAGCGTCAATAAAGCAACACGGGCACACATCACTCATAGATGTTTTCAATAAATCTGACTCCTGAAGGGAAAGACGATTGTCCTTGACAGCTGCAAGGAAAAGATTCTCCTCTATCTGTTTGTTACGATCGATATTCCCGATCTAGCTGTGAAACGCCCTTCAGACCGATGCAACAGTATTCCCATGCCGTTCGATGGTCCTGCGAGCAAAGAGGAGCATGATTGTCGAGCATAATTCTCAGGCACGATTCTCAGCCACGATCATTCGCAGGACGATTTCTGTGAAGCCTCGTCGAGCGCACTCCCTTTGAGAGAACGTTGATATTCACAACTGATTGAATCGGCACAATATGTCGAGAGTGTGCACTTTGGTAGCCAACCTATCCTGCTCTGCTCTTATCTGTTGTTCCACACACGTTCCTACGCATCCTACAGCGACCATTCCGTTCTAAAATTCCGTATCTCGGACCTGCTGAAATTATTATGTTCTCGCCATTGATACGTCTGTAAAGGCTCTTTCGTACCTCTATTATGTGTGAACGGGTTCCTTCAAATTTTAGTTCTCTGTATTTTTTAATTTTTAGGCTCTTAGATTCTTGGAATTTCTAAGTTCTCAAATTTTACAAAGTTCCACATTTCTTGGGAACTAATTCCTCATAG